CAAGCTTTTATTGAGTGCCTACTGTATGTAAGAATACAGTGATTACTAAGTTGGCCATTTTTGTTCTTTAGGGGCTATCAACAAACTTAGAAGAGAAGGTGTTAAAAGATGTACTTGGGTTTTCATAGCACATGAAGGAGGAATGTCTGGTGCTCAGGGAGATGGGGCAGGCATCCCAGTGGATGAAACCTGACTCATTGGGACAGGTATGGTGGTACATATTACTAAGTCAGCAAAAACAGTGCTGCCAGAAAACCAGGAGAGGTCAGAGCAGTCTTTTAGATTGTTCATTTAGCAACTGTATGAAGAAGAAACTTAATGGGAGCCAGGACACCTTTATTCATCCAAAAGAGAGGTGGTAAGGCCTGAACCAAGGAGGATTGGAAGAACAGAGGATACAAATGGAAAGAATGCTCTCCTTCCCCATCTTCTGAGAATTGTGTTAATGATGGATGGAAGCAGATGTGGGTTCACATGTCTGTGTAGTGCTCCCTCAACCCCTTTCCAGGTTCACTTCCTACAACTGAAGCTACCTGTCAACCGTGGTCCAAACATTTACAGGGAAAAAAAATCTAAAAGTAGAAAATATCTTTTATAAATAATTTTATTATAGTATATTGTTATAATTCTTTTTACCATTAGTTACTATTAACCTCTCACTGTATATATTATAAATTAATGTCATAGGAGTGTGTGTATTGGGAAAAGGTCACATAGATGGGATTTGATACGACCTGTGGTTTCAGATATCCATAGCAGGTCTTAGAACATATCCTTCAGGGACTGTATTGTCGTTATGGGTCGACAGCTTCTCCTCATATGGGAAGAACCACCTTGTCACCATGGGATTTGATACGACCTGTGGTTTCAGATATCCATAGCAGGTCTTAGAACATATCCTTCAGGGACTGTATTGTCGTTATGGGTCGACAGCTTCTCCTCATATGGGAAGAACCACCTTGTCACCTTTGTTCTTTGTTCCTGTCTCCCTGATTGGTCCCCTGCCCGAGACCTGCTGGGCTGCTTGTACTGATACTAGCCACTGACAAACATGGAGTATTGTACGGATAGCTTCGTATCACTATAATGAAATACCTGAGGTAATTAATTTATAAAGAGAAAAAGCTTACTACTTAGTTCACAGTTTATAGGTTCAAATCCAAGATTTAAGCCTATTGGTTTGACCTCTGCTTGGGTCAGCAGAAAATAATGGTGGGAACACATGTCAGAGAGAATATTCATAAAGTAAAGGAAAGAAGAGAGGGAGGGGTGGGAGATGGAGGCGGGGCTGAGAGGTGGAGAAGGGAATCTTCAAGGGTCCTACCCCCAAAGCCGTAAGGTCCTCCCACTGGACCCCATCTCTTAAAGGTCCATAGAACCTCTGGCCCCAGGGACCAGGCCTTTGCACATGGACTTTTGGGGGGCACTCATCCAAACAGCAGCAAGAGTCCACTGTGAATCTACAAGTGACACAAAGTGGGAAATAAATTATATTACCCATTTTTCATTGATTCTGGGATGGTTTCCTCTCACTAAACCAGTGCACTGAAACATTTCTATAGTTTAAAATGTAAATGTGAGGCCAGAAGTTGGCTCAGAGGGTAAAGGCACTTGCTCCTGAGGCTGAGGACCTGAGTTTGATTTCAGTACCCACAGAAAGAAAGGAGAGAACTGACTCCTGAAAGTAGTTTTCTGACACACACACACACACACACACACACACACACACACACACACACAAATTGGACATAAGCATATTATAGAAGTAGGGATGCATCTTGTTTTATCTGTCACTGGTTAGTAATCTAGGAAGCAATGTTTCAGATAGGAGTCGATTCTTTTCTATCCCATTAAATTTCTGTTTTTATTCCTATCTTAATTTTAGGGGGAGGAGAGGATATTTAAAAATGGATAATTCTTAAAGAAGCCTATAAATACATTTATCCATTGAGAGAAAAACTCCAACCCTCTGTAGTAATGAAGTAATAACTTAAAGTGGTCAGTTTTATCATAGATCAATCCTGCCCACAGCAAGGGAGTGTAGCCAGTAATCTGGATAGCCTTTGAAGCCTCATACACAGGCAGACTTTCACCTCTGGGACTAACCATAATTTTAATTAACATAAAGTAATCTAAAGGCATGCTGGTTAGACGTCCAGTGCCTGGACAAAGCTTTCTAGGCAGGGGCTGGGGAATATGAAAGTCTGCCTGCCCCTCTTCCCTGAAAACAAGGCTTTCTTTAATCAGTCAGAGCAGATTTTTATTATGCTCAGCTTTTACTTTTTTTTTAACATTGCACGATGTTCTTAGAGACAAAAAACAACAGAATTCCAAAAGCTTTTATTAATTAAAAAGGGCAGAACTGAAACCGTTATAGATTATGTCAGTTTCGCCCCACATTTAAAAAGCACAGGGCTCCAGATCGTCTTTAAAGTGCATGATTTACACCATATTCCAGTAAAGCGATGCAGGCGGAGACTTTTCATTCACTCCTCTTGTGTGTCATGTGGAACACGCTGAAAGCTGTTGGTTCTCCCAGGGACAGGGCAGGAAGAATTAACTCCAGCCAGCATTGCTTTTAATATGTGGCTTTGACTTTCAGAGAAGTGGAGTGCAGTGCGAATCATAGAGGCAACTGACTGAGAAACTCCTCAGTGCTCTAACAGGAAGCAGGCTGCTTTCCATATTCCTTCCAAGATTTTTCTTTCACATGCAAGTCCCAGACACAAAATATTCTGCAAAAATTGTAAGGAAGACACAGTAGTTCTTGCTGTTTGGGGAGTTCCCAGGGAGAATAATTGTGTTCAGAACACACACACACACACACACACACACACACACACACACACACACACACACGTGCGCATGCACGAGTTTATTATGTGATCTGGAACAGCCGAAACAGACAACACCATCTCCATTTTATGGTACATGTTATTTACTGAGTTTCCCTGAAGAAAGCTTAAGAATTCTTTCCTTGTGAGTCACTCACTGTGTGCCTACATGCACACATGTGTGTGTGTGTGTGTGTGTGTGTGTGTGTGTGTGTGTGTGTGTGTGTTTAAATATAAACTTTCCTGCAGCTGGTCAGTTTGGAGCACAATCATCTTGTCTTCCCTTCTCTTCAAGCTTCTTTGCCTTCGTCTGTCAGTGATCACATCTGAGGCCAAATTGAGTAGCTTTGGTGTAGCCAATTTCTTTCCATTAAATATTCAAGTTTAAGAAATGAAACAGCCTGGCCAGGCAAGATTCAAAGAACTCCATTCTCTGAATGTGACTTACATAATTACATTTTCATTGCCCTGGCAAAATGCATCTCCTTGGTTTAATCTCTGTTGAAATTAATGGAAGGGAAATTGTATCCTTTTTTGCCAAGAATCGTTGGTGGTTGCAATGCTTAGGTTAAGGTCCTTTTTACCACTAGGAGTGGAAGAGAAGGTGCTCTCCAGTCTCATCTTATTGAAGAGGGGCTACAAAGGTGGTCCTCGGGAATAGCCAGGCGTGGTAATTTAAATATTAACACCTTGACAGATAACCTCAATATGTATATTAATTACAGTTTTCCCTCCACGAGAAAGGCCCTATAATTGCAGCCATCCATTCTGAGGTAGCGCTGTTGTTTTAGACAGCAATTCTGAACCCACTTTCCCAGTGGCTATAAGAAGCCTGCTATTGCCAACCAAGTGGTCTAGAGTCCTCGCTAATTACCAGCTTCCACAGCTTTTGATTCTGAGCCCAACTGATGGCGCCAGAGGCTGAACCACAGTCAGATCTGTAAGCCCTAGGTTTGCCAAATGGAATCTATGCAATTTGTTTCCTTCTCTCAATGTCTTTATGACGAGACTCAGCTCAGGATAAATAGACTAGAATTGCTTCAAAATACTAATGGTTGAAGATTCAAACATTGAGGACAATTACCATGAGGGGTCTGTACCCTATGCTCGTGTGTGTGTGTGTGTGTGTGTGTGTGTGTGTGTGTGTGTGTGTGTGTGTGTGTGGTATGTGTGTATACCAGAAATCTGTGATGGACAGCTGCCTCAGTCTCTCTCCACCTTATCAGACAGGGTCTCTCACTGAACCTGAAGCTCCTAAATTCTGCTAGAGAACCTGGTCAACGAGCTCTGGGAATCCTCCTGTCTCTACTACCCGTGGCTGGGATTACAGGCATGCACCAGCATGCCCACCATTTTTTATATGGGTGCTAGGGGGTGGAATTTAGGTCATCATGTTGTGCAAGACTTTACTGAGTCACATTCCTTACTCCCCAAATTGCTAAGTTTTTAAGCACAGTTGTGCTATTTGATTCACTCAATTGCACAGACATTTAGTTAGTGCCTTCTGTTTACCCAGTACTGTGTTTTATTCTGGAAATAATGCATGAAATTACCTCCCATTGTACTAGAAAAGGTGAATAAACACATCATGTAAGACCATCTTGTATAATAATTATATCAGGAAATGCGTCTTAGAAATAGGCACTAAGACACGCCTAATTGTTTTCTGTACAAACAAAACTGAGGTCTAGAAAGTGCTCTGTAAAGAAATTTAAGATGTTGTTGAAGAGTATATATGAAATTCAGGAGAAGGGCTTATGAAAAGGGAATGTATACCAAGCACAGGACTAGTCTAAGCGATAATTTAGCTAAGTGCGTGCACAGGGTAAACTGGCGGATATGGCTGTAGTTGTGTGATGTTTGTGAAGGTGTGTGGAGGAGGCTGCAGGGGAAGAAGTTAGAGAAAACCCTACTGGATCTCATATGCTCTTGTCAAAGGGATTTTTTTTTTTTTTTTGGTTTTTTCGAGACAGGGTTTCTCTGTGTAGCTTTGCGCCTTTCCTGGGACTCACTTGGTAGCCCAGGCTGGCCTCGAACTCACAGAGATCCGCCTGGCTCTGCCTCCCGAGTGCTGGGATTAAAGGCGTGCGCCACCACCACCCGGCGTCAAAGGGATTTTTAGTCTAATAACTATGCAGGCACTGAAGCAAATAAAAATCCTTCTCCTTTACATTTTATCAGGGGTAGATGATCAGGATATAGGACTGAGCATTAAGTATCGAAAGAGTGAAGTTTTAAATGGGAACAGATAGGGCTCTTCTTTTCAACAGAATGGCAGACCAGATGCCCTGATAGATTGTCACATATAGTTATAATTAAAATGTTGAACAAAGTAGCCCCCATCATAGTTGCTAAAAAGAATCCCTAGACTAGATATAAATTTCAGGATACTTCCAGTGCTACAGAGACTGCCAGGGCTGCCCTTTGAAAAAAAGGCTACACCTTGGGTTAAGAGCATGTTAGAAACAAACACAGCATCTGCAAGGACATGGCAAGAGAATTATCTTGTGTTAACTGTGGCATTAGCTGGAAGGGGCTAACAGTGTCTGCCTTTAAGCCGACATTTGAGTTTAAGGTCAGATTCGTGCTGTGTGTGAGTCAAGAACCTCATTATGAACTGAGCAGGGTGGCACATGTGTGTAATCTCAGCACATGTGAGGGAGAGGTAGGAGGGTCAGGAGTTCAAGGTCAGCCCCAGCTATGTAGCAAGTTGGAGGCCAGCCTAGTCTATATGAGATCCAGTGAAAAATCCAATTCTCCTGGGTTTGTGGTACCTCTAGAAGAATCAGAAGAAGCAACCCAAACCCTCAAGGTCCACCCAGGCCTTTTCTCACCTAGTGTTCTAGAGAAAATACATCACAAGGAACAAAGTAAGGAGGAAAAAAAAAAAGGAGCCACACTGAGAATATAAGAGACAATGGTCTGTGAAATCAGCCCTCTAAAGATGTAGTGGGTATATAAATCACAGAAATAAAATTAAAACATTTACTATATAGAAATAAAGAGGCTTACCAGCAAAAGCAATGAAGATCAAGCAGATTTGGAAAATGTAACTTCTAGAAATGAAGTTTGGTCACAGAAGCAAAAAATCCCATCAAGAGAGCCAGTGAAATTAGTAAAACACAGCTGAATAAAGAATTAGTAAACCAGAGTCAATGAGGCGGCTCAGCAGATAAAAGTGTCTGGTGCAAAAGCCTGGAGTCCTGAGTTTGATTCCTGGAGCACACATAACAGTAGAAGAAGAAACTGACTCCACAAAGTTGTCCTCTGACTTCCACGTGTGCACTATGGCAAACACGTCCCCACACACGTGGGGGTGGGGAGCAATAATAAATGTTTTAAATCTTTTTTAAAAATTAGTAAACCAAAAAGCTGTGGTTAAATGAATTAACTTACATAGAAAGCACCAACCTAACTAACACATTTTTAGTCAGGGTTCCAGGAGATGATAAAGTGGAAGACGGTGCTCAGAGAAGAGCTAGGACTGTTTTCCTGGACGGCTGTCATAACAGTGGAAAGCTAGCAATGGCAGCCTGATTTGCCATTGTGGAATGAATAAATTATAAGCATTTGCATGCTACAGTTTTATACAGTATTCCAAATGAGTCAACTCCAGTACATCCAATAGTACTTTGACTTATCAAGACAAGTGACTCCAGTACATTCAATAATACAAGTGAATTATCAAGATAAGTGTAAAAAACATATAGCATATCTTTATTATGAAATTAAAAACTATTCAGACTACATATAAGTATAATAAAACTGTCCAGAAAGTAGAGGAATGATGACTGTCCCCACTGATAGTTATATCGAGTGAGAGAAGTGAGGTTAGTTGCTGGATGGTACCATGTGATGGCAACCTACTCAGATCAGGTGATTTTGAAATGTCCTAGCTTTTATTTTGAGTAATAAATTCACATGCACTAATCACATTATGAAATTAACTAACTAAAATGTTAATCAATAAAAATGATCCATTCATCTTCCAGGGATGATGATGTACTATGAACTAAAGGTTTTGACTAATTTTACATTTCTAGAAGTCCATTGAGAAGTAGTTAGGAGAGGGTATCTCTAAATTATTCAATTCACATAACCATGAAACTCAAGAAATTCCAGATAGAATCATCATCGTCTTTATCATCAGTATCCCAGGCACAGCCGAGTAAAAGTACAGAACACCAAAGAAAAGAAGTATTAGGAGAATCTAGGAAAACAGGTCACTTAAAAAATATTAGTCACTTTCCTGCTTCTGTGATAAAATACCAAGACTGAGAGCAACTTACACAGAGTTTATTTTTGGCTTTCGGGTCCAGAGGGCTGGAGTCCATAGGGCAGGGGCAACATGGCAACATGGATGTTGGCAGGAACAGGGAGCCGGAACACCGTGTCTCAACCACGCACAGAACACTGGAAGTGGGGTGACTCTATAGACTCTCAAAGCTGGACCCCAGTGATGTATTTCTTCCAGCAAGGCTCCAAAACTCCCAGAATAAACAGTTCCAACAGGAGACCAAGTGTTCAAATACAGGAGCCTATGTGAGCCTGTGGGAGAGTTTCCTCATTCAAATCACTGCAGCTACTGACAGAGGAATCCAGCTAAGCCATTGATCTTTTGAACTATGTGGAGTCATTTAGTGCATAAATAAAGCCAATACCCAGATCTGTGTCTTTCTTATTCCTATGTCTGTGCTCTTAATTCCACCAAAATCTTATCACATATCCAGGCACAGAGTTGTTTGTGCACAGAAGTGAATGCAAGTCTGAAAAGTAGCCAGATTTGAAAAGCTGGAAGCAAAGTTAACCACAATCTACTTAACATATGAAAAACCCACTGAAATGTATTTAGGTATAGAAGAAATAAGGCAACTAACATTCTGTTAATTTTGCAATATAGGCCAGGCATAGTGCTGGTAATTTAAAAAACCCCTTCTCCTGCAGCAAATACTTATTAATTGGCATTCTTTTTTCCATTCCATGGTGGCAGAGACCAGTGCTGGGGGAGCTTAAATAATTTACCTAGTCTTATAAAACAAGTAAGTGGTAGTTAAAATTCTAGAGCAATGCAGCCAGGACTACCATACCTACTATATTCCTAGCAGCATGGTCAACAAATGACTAATGTAAGGGTATTACCTGAGTTGTCTGCACACACAACCCTTTCTGGGAAAGCCAGATACCACCACTCATGCTAGACCTCTTTCCTGGAGGGTGATGGATGTCTTACCTACTCATCTACCACTACCTCCCCTACAATCTACTTATTTTTAAATGGTGAGAGCTTTAAATCCTGTAGCAAAGACCTAATAACCAAATCACTGCCTCCTTTGAAGTCTAAATTTAATCCCATGCAAACTGGGATAGTGGGGACCCTTGAAAAGCTTAATTGAGAAAGTAATCAAGTTCTTAGTTCAGTCACTGGCACTGAGATTTCCTCAGTAAGTGACTGATGCTGCTACTATTAGCCCTTTTAAGGCATAGAGAATTTTTGTAGTCAGAGCCTTCCTACTTTGCCTAAGAAAAGGTGAGCCATCTTTATTTGGTTCACTGTTGTGGTATGATGTAGTTGGGGTCTGGTTGTCATCATTTTAACTCACTATAATAGGAAAATAATTATAAAATACTCTGGTCTGACTTTTCTATCTAGGTGATATGAATATAGCAATCTATTACTAACCATCCATTTTATAAAGTGAGATTTTTTAAAAAATTCTTAATTATCCCCTGAGTTGAACTTACTACAATGCTCTCTGAGCCTCTAAAGAATCCATATGTTATTTGGGTCAGTTTGACTTGGGTATTTTGGCCTCTGGGATGTATTATTTTGAACTAATGATTATGGGAAGTTTTATGTAAGCTCTAATGAAACAATGATGAGAAAGGGTTGCTGCAATGCTGGGGTCAGAAACACAGAAGATGCAAATCCCCTGTATGGAGACAACACATCCTAAGGCCCCCCCTCCAAAAAAAAAGAGTGAGGCAGAAAAGTAAATGCGACACCCAGTCAGCACGTGTGCATTGTGTAATGTGTGCCCACGTGATGTGTGTGAAACTCTAATCTGGTACAGATTTCTCAATTTAAAAACACCTATAACTATTCCACATTGTAGTCACTTAACATATCTAAGAAGCAGGGGCTTAAAACATACTGTATTTCACATTTCAGCTAATTCGTCTTATTTTTTTTAAACAAAAAAGCTACCAAGCAAAAGCTATGTAAGAAATCTCCCTCCATCTGGGTGATGAGGGGCAGTCGGTCCTTCAGGACTGTGTAGCAGGCACAGCAACGGCATTATGAGGCCACATCTTTCATACTCTTCCAGATTATCTCATTTGTGTGTTTATTTCTTATAGGATACTTCTGTGATAATGATTAAATGTACCAGTGAGTCTGGAGAGTTCAATTTCTTTTTTGGGAACTGACATTGTATGCCTCTTGATTGTTTCTACAGCATCTGGGCTCTTAGAAGATTGCTTACCTGTTATGTTACCATTAGCAGAAAAAAAGGACGTAGTTCACTTTGGAGGAACGCAATTCTGGGAGCCTAGCTATGCAGTAAAGCCTCCAGGTAATCCTTTAGAATTCCAGCGAAGACCAAAGAGAAAAGAAAAGAAAAGAGTCCTGTAAAAACAGGGTTTGCTCTTTTATCCTAGACACGATTCAAAACAGCAGGGAACCCTTACATCTGCATGTCAGTGGGCAGCACAGCTGTTAGCACAGTGGCCATTACTGAGCAGACCAGTACTCGGAAACGAGAAATATCATTCTATCATTCCCAACTGAACAAACATCAGAAAAGTAGACAGGCTGACTAGAATGATCCAAAATGGAATCTGCCTGCACTGCTAAGTCTCCCAGAGACAAAGGTGCCATTCACCTCTTTTTCCTTCTGATAGCCGAAACTCGTTTTCATCTACTGACATCCTTTGAATTATTACCCTCCCAGAAAAATCACTCAACCCCTGTAGAGCACTTAAAACATTCCACTGTTTCTGATCAGACCTGTGTTGTCATCCATCCCCCAACTCAGGCTGTAGTATATCGTCAAAGAAAGCCCACTGTCAGAAATATAGCAAAAGTCCAGCATTACATTCCCGTAACGGTTCTCAGAACTCACATTTCACATTATGCTTTAAGTATCATTCCGGAAGTCTGGCCCTTATCTGACCCTTGAGAGGGATAACAAGCTCAATTTCTTGTGTCTCAAAGAAAATGCAAAAGAGGACTTAGTGCTTTCTGAGGCCTTGGGCTTCAGAAGAATTCATGGCTTTCTTCAAATATCTGTTAAAATTTTAATACAGTGGATGTTAGGGGTTCTCTTAAAACAAAATTGTTCAGCAACAGGAATTTAGCATGTTAAAAGCAGCCACATGGTCTGTCGCCCGGGACTCCCTCACCAGACCGCCTTCCTGAGGCTGGTCAACATCTGTCAGCATCTTTAGCATAAACCATCAGCTCCAAGCATTCTTCAGACTGAAACTTGAGCTGCCAGGTCTCAGCTCAGGAGTTTTTGTGTGCTTTCAGGAAAATAAGATCTGTTTTTTCCAGGGAAAGCCAAAGGGGGAGAAATGTAATCATAACATTTCAAGACACCCTTCTGTTTTATCCATGGGTAAAAGGAAAACCAGCTTCAGCCGAACTGAGAGGAACAGAAAATACCCAAACAAGTCGAGGGTGGTAAAGTTTTTTTCCTCACACTGCATTCCTGAAACAGGATGTCCTCATCAGAACTGTGTGACCACATGCTTAGCGGGACGGTGTATGGAACTCGGCCCAACTGTGTTACCAGAGGTCAGCATGTGTCCACCTCTTGGCAACTGAGGATGAAGAGCTTAAGTGACAAATTCTAAACCTCCAGCTTCCCAGATCCTTACACAGGCACAAGAAACTAATACAGCGTATAGCAGTCTGCCAAAAGGTATCATATACACTAGCGGATTGTGGTTTTGCACAGCTTTGACATACATCACCCGAGTGTCCAAAATTACTTCTCAGAGTACATCTGTATGCATGATGCCAGACTTCGCCAGTTGATCCCATATAGTCCATTGCACAATAGGGATGCACTTTTGAACCTAAAGCTGTCCCTACCAATCTCACTGTGAGCGTAAAAATTCTCAAAGTATTCCCAATTATTCTTTGTGCAAGAACTTGCCTGTGGCACTAGAGAGACTGGATCTTGAAACTGCCGAACCATTCAAGATGGAAAGGCCATTCCAGTGAATGAAGTCTGGATAGCTTTTAGTGAGCTACACAGGCCTCCGGACTAACAGTTACATTTTGCTACTTGACTGTAGTGTAAGTGCAATAATGCACTCAGTAGAAGCCATACTTGGAATTCTGAATTAGGAGCTTCTCTCAGGCTAGAAGTATGTACTAGGATACACCCCCATGATGTTGGGCAGTGGCAGCAGGCAGCTCCTCCTCAGCCACACAAGAGGAAACAGTGATGTCTAGTATGTTAGGCACATTCTATGAGGTTTGTCCCCGTAATTTGAACTCATGGTGAGTTGATTGGGATGTAACCCAAGCAGAAGCTGAGTAAAAGCTATATTTGCAATCTGAACATTTTTTTTCCCTTCTCACAGCAGCACTAATTAGAAATGGAGAGGCAAGCCATGAGTGCTACTTTGGCAGCTAGTCAGCCCCCTGTCCAGTGTTCCATACCAGTTGTTTGCATAGAGCTTTGATGAACTAAAGATGCTGTAAATTCACTGCAACGTAATCTCTAGAGAAACAAAAACAACTGCTGAAAACATAAAACAGTTAAAGGTGCACTACAATGGAGCTGCTGGACACCTTGGACACATGCTCCATTGTAGCTCACACAATACTCTAACCAATCAGGATGTGTGTTCTTGTGGCCATACACAGAATTCATCTGGGTGACTCAACTTCAGTTACAGTAGTGAGGAAAACGGTGTTGCCTTCTCCTTCAGAAGATACTGCCAGAAGCGAACCATGCTCTGGGCCTCCAGCTCCTGGTGGACCTGCCTCTTCATCAGACCTGAGGACTCATGTGCCTGTCTCCTCTCTGAGCCTGGAGTGACTCAGATCCTTTGGAGAACTTAAATGAGTCAAACTAAGTGTCGATCAAATAGTCTTGAAAATACCTTCTAATAAATACGAGAAAGCAAAGCAAGGAGGTGGGAGGGCAAAGCAGGAAGGGAGTAGGGCACAGAGTAGGGCTCTGACCATTTGACTTCCCTGAAAATGCTCCGTGTCTTCTTGGGCAGCACAGTGGAGAAGACCTTTGACGTGGGCTGAGTCTCTTCATTTCTGGAACAACCCCTCATCTCAAACCATTTCTGCTCACCTCCCCCTACTACCCACAGTCCTGATTCTCAAGCTACCCAGCAGCCACCTCTACCTGCCCAAAACATACATGCACCAGATTCCATCCCATTCTGTCCCTTGACACATGTAGTTTTCCCTGCCTGGAAGATGCTCAAATTAATTCTGTGCTTAGAGAACACCTTTCTGTTTGAACTTTATCACTGTCAAGTGTGCATGCCCTTTGTGCTTCTCTTAAAATGGATAGCTTCGAGCCCTGTTGATGTATAATTGAAATTTGTTTTCATTTCCACATGCTCCTGAAAAGGTGAAGACAACCGTAGGCATCTTTAGAATCACTGTGTCACAATGAACAGAAGATTCACAGATTGAAAATAGTAGAGCAAGCATTATATGCATTTAAGAGGCTAAGATTTTTTTCTTCATAGATGTATTCATTTCTTAATCTAGTGTTGAAAGACAAAGTCAAAACGTATGCAAAGAAGTTCTTAGCTGAAATATATTGTGTGGTCACTGATATCATCATACACTACAGTGGAATTTCTCTTCCTCTTCTTATAGACAAAAGCATTCCAATTTTCCTGATTGTGTTATTGATCTCTAAAGTCTTAGAGATCTACATTTCAGCTTATATGACTTTCAAAGAAATATGCTAGGTTTTTACTTAGTTTCTTAGCAAACAATAAATCTATTATATGATAAAGTTTATTAAATATCAAAGCAACATACATTGGTAAAATATGAAAAGTATATCCTCCCACACTTTTACAAAGTATAGATTCATATAAAAAAGCACACACTATGATTACTGGCCACAAAGACAACTGGAGGTCTATGGTATATGGGATCTAAATTAAATTTGGCCAGAAAATGGTGGTTAGGATGTAATTATAGCCAGGCAGTGGTAGCACATGCCTTTAATCCCAGCACTTGGGAGGCAGAGGCAGGTGGATCTCTGAGTTCGAGGTGATCTTGGTCTACAGAGTGAGTTCCAGGACATCCAAAGCTACACAGAGAAATCCTATCTTGAAAAAAAAAAGTTGGGGGGAGATTAATTACTTTCCATTTCAACTTCTGATTCTCCTTATTCATGGTTTACAATGCATTTTGTAAGTATCAATAACTATTCTGAAGTAGCCCCATAATAGCAATAACACATCTTAGTGTAATGTTTTGGCTATAATATAGTACTCAGTACATAGATTCATGTGTGTGCTTATTTGTGTTACTGGGATTTTTTTTTATTTAGAATATCTGAAGAATAAGCATCAACTGGAGTCATTATTATTCTAAACTATAGTTCATTCACAAAAACATGTGGACTTTGATGTATGGCAAGTGTTTTGTTTGAAAAATAGCTTTTGTGACTTCAGAACAGATAGTAATGCTAAAGACAAAGTGAGAAGTGTGCTTGAAAATTTCTCTCTCAAGATGATGAGAAATCCGCCAGTGAAGAAGTCATGGAGCATCTAGAAAGCAGAAGGTTAAACCAACACTGAAGACATGGCTGACACTGGGGCATTTGCGACCTCTCTACCAAAGAGCTTTGGGGTCCTATAGTTAGAGAGTGAGAGCAGAAAAGGCACCAAACAGAAGGAGCTGACAAATTGTAAGTCAGGGCCTTCACAGAGCTACTCCTTCATTGGAAATGATGGATCAGCATACATCCACTTGCCAATAAAGAGAATGAGGAAAGCTATTTTTCTCAGTCTGAGTTTAAATGGAAAGAAAACATCCTCAAGAATTCATTCTTTATAGTTTTCCCATCACATGATTCAGTATTCAGATTTGTACCATTTGCACAGTCGATCCCAAGCTGAGAAAGGGCCTTGAAATGGACACACATTAGAAGGGGTCTGGGAACTGGAGAAGCAAAAATACTTCCTGGTAAAGCGCACCCTCAAGTCAGACAAAGAGGTCTAACTCCACTACCACCCAACTGAACATAAACACAACCCAACATTGAAAAAGGCATCACCGGGAAGTCCAGAGGACAACAAATACTAGAGAAACTTTGGACTTCGCTTGAATATTGAAGGGTGTAATTTGCCCAACACAAATATAAGAAGCACTGTATTTTAAAGACATAATTTATGAACAGTCAGGTGGACCTTTTAGAAATAGAAAGGCAATCATTAAAATAAAAACTGAATAAATGGAAAAGGGGGAGAGACTCTAAATGAAATGGGTTATATAGAATGGTGTACTGAAAGATGTTCAGTAACTCTCTTCAGGAGGAACAGTTATACAAGCTTTACAGTGTCAGCAATACCACTATGAGTGACTTAAAGTTACCGATGAACTGTTAGTCAACATAGTTCTTCTGAGGTGGGATAAACTAAATCCTCCATGCGTGAGCGAGAGAGAGAGAACACATGAGAGAGTGTGTGAATGAGAGAGAGCTCACATGAGAGTGAGAATGTGAGAGGTAGGTAGATAGATAGATAGATGGATGATACTCGAGTACTATCTACTCAAGTGCAATATAAAATATAGACAAATATATAGGAAATGTACATGAGGCATAAAGGATAGGAAGGGAAGCTCGTGTATTTTTAATATTTAATTATTTAAGAATCCACTTGCTGATAAAGAGAATGCAGAAAGCTATTTTTCTCAGCCTGAGTTTGAATGGAAAGAAAACATCCTTGAGAATTCACTCTTAATAGTTTTCCCATCATGTGATTCTGCGTAGAATACTTATTATTTAAACCATCAGAAGACAATGGGAACACGGCAGTTTTTCTAGAACAGATTATGTCTGTGAATGATAAAACTCTAGGAACACACAGATAACAACACATTATATGAGAACACCCTGCCCTCTCTTATCCCCACCTACCCCTGTCAACTCCCTGCTTCCTCCCTAGAAGTCCTTTTCCCACCTTCATGTCCCTTTGGTTTGTCTTGTGACCCATGGAGTTTAACCAGAGCTCTCTGTGTGATCATGGGCGTGGAACTGTTCCGTGGAGCATGGTGAGCTCAATATGGGTACACAGACTAAAGACATGACTCACCCTCTCCCAGCATCCATCAATAGCCAATAATTTCCCATGAGCCTCCCCCACCCTGCCGAACACCCTCCCAATCCATGGCTGACCAGCTCTATTGTGTGTAGGTCCAGTACAAGCAACTAACTAGCTGCTGTGAGTTCATGATTGTACTAGCTGCATTAGGCACAGAAGATGGTCTTTCATAGCCCTTCTCCCCATCACTGGACTCCTTAATGCCTTCCACCCCCTCCTTCCTGGATGCTTCCTGAGTTATTTCTTGTTTTGTTTTTGTGTTTGAGCATCTTGCTCTTGCTACATGGAGCAGCCTGGTACTCTAGTAGCTATCACCCTGATTCTACCTCCTGAGGCTTGGGTTACACATGTTTGCCACCATGCCCAGATTGGTACTGAATGGTTGTAAAAATGTTTACCTAAAAACTGCAAGTTCAGGGTCCTTATTCCTCCCTGTACATCTGTGCATATACTAGTATCTTTTTGTTTTCCACTGGGAGGACTATGTACTCACTATGACTCACAGGAAAAGATAAGATTATTTTATCTTAGTCTCTAATAAAAGAAGCCAACAGTCCTTGGAGACATTCCAGGGGTAGAGCTGAGGAGGACAAGACAGGCCTGGACTATCTCACAGTACTAGAAAATAAGGAAGTGCTCAAACATTTATAGCGGAACATGGGAAAGAATACAGGAGACAAACGTGAAGGAGGTTCCTAGTGACTAGATATGGGATGACTTCACTAGCAGGGTGGCCACCACTGTGGATTATGACCCAGCAGCTATAAGCATTAGTATCCACATAAATAAACAGCTGAAAATTAAATGGTAGAAGGGAAAACTCCTAGTCACCAAAGATAATCCAATTCATAAACTTAGAGAAGAAATTTAAGAATCACCATTTGCAAAGTATCAGTAATAACTGGAATGTTAAAATGAGTAGGCAAAAGTCAAATAAGAAATGGGATATTCACTCTCTCAAAACAAGACCTGTAAGATACTTATAAGTCAAAGAGGGTCAAAATAGAAACTTTAGAGTGGAGAAACCTCAGAAAGCACCATTGTAACCAAATCACCAAAGTTTCTGGTAGTGGTAGGGACAGATGGCCACCACATGTCTCCTGACACAGCACTGAGAAGGACACATCTTCCGTGTGATTTTTCTCAACAACAAAACAATTATACAATTTGAAATTAGTACCAAGGAAACTAAATTCCAACCAAGGGGCACTGAATGAAACAAATGATCACTCATCTTCCCAAGTGTGATTGTGGTGAAAAGACACTGAGGAATAGCTACATATTAAACACGCACAGCTAATATTTGGTTATGCATCCAAAACCAGATCCTGAGCACAGGATGGCCAGGATGTCAGTTTCCTGAGCTTGACCCTGGTGGTGGAGTTCTGAAAGACGTTCATGTGTGAAAAGATGCACAGAAACTCTGGGTTGATTCTGGAGACCGTTGATAAGACAGTTACTCCAGGACATTGCTTGCTTGCTTGCTTGTTTACAAATCAAAGCTACCACACTTTCCTTTGGCCTCTCCTTCATCCCTCTCAGAAAGGCCAGTTGTTGACTTACTGCCTCTTCCAGATCTGCCCAAAGACCTCGGCGCATGGCTTCAGTAGACAGCCAAGTCAAGGCTTAAGAGGAAGGAAGCAGTTGAGTCTATTGAAGCACCAGGTTCCGACTGTGTTGAAGGAGTGTGGTGGAGGCTATGAAAAGGCCATCCTTTTCTGGCTCCCTCTCATCCCTCAGCTTTCTGCCCACATCCCAGACTGCTTTTAATCCTATTGGGAGGGTATACAGGGAGAAAGAGAGAAATAATAATAATGAATTACTGTGTTCCTTGGCACATGAATAACAGTTTCCTTTCCAGGGATTCAGGAATAAAAAATGAGGGGCTTTTAAATCTCGCTAACGTGTGTGTGTGTGTGTGTGTGTGTGTGTGTGTGTGTGTGTGTGTGCGCGCGTGCGTGCATGTCAGAGAGATAGAGAGAGAGATCTTGGGAAAAGTCTCTCATACAACACCGGGATAACTAAAGTTACTTGACATGTGACATAGGTCTGCTTCCCCACCTACCTGTCAGACCAACACCCTTCGGTGCTTAAAACTGCACACCAGCAACAGCAGGGCCCCTAAGAGAGGGCCTTTCCCCACCCCTTAGCCTATCAGTACATCCTAACTTGTTCTTCCTGCTAAAGGGAGCACATGGGTAGAGTTCTACTTGCAGCAGAAAGCTACATGAAGTACCACATTGAGAGAGTCCTAGCAGAGGCGATTCATTTCCGTGTTTGCACCAATCACAGAGAGCGAGAGGGACCCTCAGGAGTGGAAAGGGGACAGTGCTTGAGCCAGACCCATGTCAGCCAGTGGCTCATATGAGCAGCTATGCCGGTTGTAAGTTCTTGAACTCCTTCCTTTTCCATGGCAGTTATTTGCTGCCCAGAGTCCCACAGTGCCACACCCTGGGGCCGGTGCCTGATCATCTTCCCACCTCCTTGCTGTGCCACTTGACCACCCTGTCTGGAGCCAGCACTTTAACACTTCCATCCAAGGACTGAGTTCCACGTGCAAATACACTCCATTGAGCTTGCACGCCACACTGCCACACGTGCAATACTAAGAGGATCCAGGTACCAGTCACACAGTAAATGGCTAGTAGAAATGGGAAGAGGTAAAAACGTGAACTGCCACTTTAGAAAGGACCGTACCCATTTTAAAAAATCTAGCAATGTAGAAGAAATCATGATTCCTGAGAGAAATGTGTTAGGAGTGAGAGAAAAGCAGAATCATGGCTTTTGTTTTGTTTTGTTTGTACACAGCTGGGTAAAGGAGGAAATGCTTTTTTGTAGCAAACTCTGAAAGGATGTTTCGCAGCCAAGATATGTTCAGTGGTGTCCAAGCTACCTCACAGGATGTGAGATTGGGTTTAGCAGTGTAACAGCTCTGTGTTTTCATTCTAGCCAGATATCCGTGTGATTCTCAGTCAGTTGCCCCCCTCACCCCAGAAAGCAGCAGCAACAACCGGCAACACCACACCTGGCCAAGGCCAAGGCAGCCCGCGCCCCGCCATCCAGCCTAGCTTTTAGCTGGGAATCTCTCGCTTTGATTCACGGGTTCTCACAAACAACTCCAGACTGCCTGTGTAAGATAACACAAGTTTTGGAGTGAGAACAACGGCATCGAACCCTCTGTAACTCTTTCTTTGAAATAAAAGAAAAACATAACAATTTCCACACTCACGTCCTCATTGGGTCCCTCATCCCAACACAACACATACCACGGAAATGGTGAGACTCCAGATAGAGCAGTGGGGGGTGTATTCCGAGCTAATGATTCACTGTCTACTGTTTTCACCTCCAGCCTGTTTTCTAGAAGAGCCTGGCCTCCTGTCACTCCCATTAATCACAGGGCCCAGGCCGAGTCCAGCGGGGTGCCCCTCTGGTGACTCAGACACGGTCTGGGGCATCACAAGATTCACATTAAAAGGGAGATGGAGGTCTTGACTCCTCGTTCATTCCCACAATGCACCTCATCAGCATCGGGCTACACTGCCCCCTCGGAGCGACTGGCGCTGCTGGGTGTTGATGTTGGTTTTGGCTTGCGGCCTCCTAGAGCAGCCAGCCAGTCCTTGTGTAAGCAAGTCTGTCTGAATCGCTCTGGGGCGAGCTGCCTTCTTAGAAGTCCTCTTGCCGCTCATTATTTCGCCAGCGAGCCATTGCTATTATTAGCTTTGAATTCCTCCGTCTACACTTTCTGTTCAGTAAGATATCAAAGTGTGCATAATCATCGCCCTACCAATTGTTAAATGCCTTTCCCCACCCCCCCACCCCCACCCACCCCCGCGCCCCCGTTTCTATTATTTGGGTTGACATTCGAAACCAGCCCAGAACTCAGGAGCTTTAAAGCGGGATTTGGGATGGCGGGTTAGTAACTAAACTCCTTCTCACGCTGTTTCAGAAACTTCCAGTGTATGAGCCATCTTACTTTCTGTGCATTGTACAGACTATCCAGAAAAATTAAAAGGAAAAAAAAATGAATAGCATTAAGTAGCTCTTGGCAGACGGTCAAAGCCAGCATTGCAGGGAAGATATTTAAAAGTCTTTTAAGTGAAACTATTTGTATAAGCAGTAACTGTGCATTTCTCATGACTGGGGAGGACTGTTTTCACAGTCTTTCATGGAAATATTTCTAGACAGTTTCTGTGGCTCTCTTCCCTGAGCTCATGTATTTACTTCTGCTTCAGAGCAGAGCATTTTAATGAGCAGTTTTATAGCCCAACCTGCGTCCTGCACGTTCCGCAAGGCTAGATTCCTGCCGCACATAACCTTTGCCCTATTTGCCGTTAAAATGCAAGACTTTCCTATAACAAACTTTATACTGTGACTAGAGGGGAGGGGGAAGTATGCAACTGATACTTCAGTCCCACCCTTCAGCCCACAAAGTCAACGTTTTAAAAATGTTACTTTATAGTTTGAAAATATGACACATATTAACATTATGATACCCGGCCCCCTTCTTTTTTTAAGGTGTTTATTTCATGTTTCATCCTTTTACCTAGACCAAAATGATGACATGCTTCTGCACAAATGACTCATTTGGCCTCACTTACAGTCCAGGGAGGTATGTTCAAAGGCCAGATAAACCCCAAATTATTTCAGAAATAGAAATTTAACGAAAATAAAAGACCTCACTTTCTGTCTTCGGTCTTGCTAATAATTGTCAGCATTGGACAGTCCTGTCTTCCTTTTTAGACATAGAGTCCTAGGTATTCTCATGTGAAATAGACGTCTAATTGTAAAGAAAAAAAAAATCCAAGTTTGTCTTATTTTTCCTGTGGGTTCTGCTTTTGGTATTTCACTGTTTTTCTTGATATCTGCTAAACATTTCCTTCATTCAAGCAGTAGAACCCCAAACAGGAAGCAGGACCCCTAGGAGGGTCTGGGCAGGAGAAGAAGAGAACCATTGTCCTGAGGAACACTGCTCCCTCCTGGCCTGGCATTTCAGCCTTTTTAACTAGGCTGTGGATTTAAGGTAGACTGCAGTCCCTGGTGACACCTGGCTCTTTTTCTGCCCTCCTCTCATAATCCTGTTTACTTTTCCTTCTTAAGGGCAAGGCGGGTATGCTTTAAAACCAAGTGAAGTAAGTTCAGGGCAAACGAAAGGAAATCGACTTCATACAGCAGGTTATGAACTTGCGGAACTCATTAGTATCAAAAGGTGGTACTGGCAGGAAGCATAAAGGAATTCAAAAACATTTTACCCAGATTTATGAAAAAGAGCCATAAATGGCTACTAAGAAAAACCAGGGCTGTGACCAACTTTTACAACTGAAATCCCACAGCTGCCTCAAGCCCTCCCATGGTCGCTTCTGGAGATGGGGATGGCTGTACTTGGACATGGCCCACAGTAAGACTTCCTAAGCACCCTGTGTGTCTTCTTGGCACTTGTCCTCGGTCTCAATGGGTCTTAGAGAGACCCCCATCCAACACACACAACCTGTTCTAGGGAAGGCAGCTTTCTTTTTAGATGAAAGCTTGGTGACTTTTCCTTTTCTGTTCAGTCATCTGCCTACCGCAGTGCCAAGTTTGACTGTCTGGGAATGGTGACGCCTGCTCAGTGGAAATTAGCTGAGATCACATTTGGATCCTAAACCATAGATCCTAACTTTTATGTTAACTCAGACCCTTCTTTTTCCTGAGGTCTTTTTTTTTCTTGGCCCAAGATCGTAAATAGCAATTTTTATTCCACCCTATACAAAATCTTCAGTAGAACCTCCAATAACTTAAGCTCTTTTCCTTCCCAGGCTGTCTCCTTACTGCAGAGGTTCTCAAACTGGAGCACATTTTAAAAATGCAGATGTTCTAGGCTTCACCCAGACCAGTTATCACAGCCTCTGTGAGGGGGCCCATGTATGCTGCTTTCTACAGCATCACCCTGTGCTTCTCCCAGCAGCCAAGTTGAGGCCCAGGTCTGACAGGTAGTTAGGGTAGGTCCTCAGGTAGTGCTCCGCCCTTCCTGGGTCTCAGTGTTACCTGAGGCATCTTTCTACAGTGTCTCCCCTTCTCGTATTGAGTACTCATTAGAGATTGCAGTGAAGCTCCTTGTAGCCATCAACAACTGTCTGCTTTCTCTATCCTAACTACCAAAATCCAGTATAGAAAAATATCCTAGATTCCAAATCCATGGTCCCCTGTGCTTACAGAACCTTCACTGGCTTCTTCTACACATCTCTTGGTCATCTAGTCTAGTTCTGAATAGGAACTTCAACCACATTGAAGCCAACCAGAAGAAAACTGTCAGATACACTATCAATGCTTCCATCCAGCATTTTTTTTTCTTTTCTCAGCCCCCTTCATATGAGATTCACAATGCTATGCAAGTACTCTACCACTAAGCTATGTCCCAGCTCTTATGGTAAAGTTAGGGACTCGGTCTGGTCTTGAACTTATGACTACTGTTAGTTTTTCGGCTGCACTGTGTTCTTACCCTGCAAGGAAATGTCACGAAACACGACAGAATCTGCTAACAAGAGTTTTATTAAAGGTAAAGGGATAGAGAGTGAACAGGCCTGCAGGAAGCACATGTGTGGAGAAGAAGAAGGAACCGGGAACATGGCGCCAGATTTTAAAGGCTGGGCGTGGACAGATCAGCGTCACTACTACACGCAAGCGCGTAGATCACATGGCCACATTGCAAGCCTACGTAACCAATGGAACGTCACGAATCTTGGTCACGCGAGATGCCCTGACCCGGAAATGGCTATCCTGACCTGGACCTGGCTAGGCGGAAGTGTCCGCCAGGCATATTCGAACATGCCCGACCGTGGGGGCATGTTGTAAACCTTTCAACTACCCCACCTCAACTCCCAGATACAGGGCTTTTATATGCATACTGCTATGCCTGGTCCCACTAAGCATTCTCATACCATTCTCTTCTAATTCTTCAAGTCTTTATGAAGAAAAATTCTACTTCTGCTCATAAATATGATGGGATACTGTTGCTATTTGAATGTGTCCCTCAAAAGTTCCTGTGTTGGAGACTTCATCTCCAAATTTAAATGTCAGTGGCATTGATAATTAAGACTAGATATTTTTTTGGCCCTTGATGGCACTAGTTGCCATCCTTTAAAGGAACCAGGTAAAGGACTGTGCTAGTATACTTTGTCACATCATCTGTTGACTTCTGTCATGTTCTAAGAAGGCCCCTACCAGATAGTAGGTGCATGCTTTAAACTGTGCAGCCTCTAGAACATTGAACTAAGCAAACCTCTATAAATGGCCCAGACTGTGGTAGTCGGTTTTAGGAACAGAAAATGGACTAAGTCAGGTACTATATGAAATGCATTAAAACACAATAAGAAGGACCCATTAGAAAGTTGATAACACGAAAAGAATGTGAGTTTTTCATGACAAACAAAAATTGAATAAGCTGAGCATGTAGGAAGGAGGGTTCAATTCTGGCTTCTCTTACTAGAGAAGGTTGTCACATTGGCCAGGTTGTGAATAATGGAAAGATTATAGTAACTATTAGACAACAGGTCATTTGGATTAAAAGGACAACATGGCCAAAGGCAACAGGTTGTGGTGCTCCTACTTTGATTGGGAATAGACAATGTCCTGATATAACTGGAGTATAGCATAGAATGCAAACTCTTGTAACTACCTCTCCCTTAGTGGTACACTAGCTCTCACTAGTTTTTCATATCATGTCAGGTGTCTTTAGTTTTTTGTCTACTATAGTCTTTTGAACTTCATATGCATGTATTGCATGCCCTAAAAGAAAGATTTTTGACCCCAGTATCATGGTATCTGCATGGTCCATGGCAACCAAATCAAGTCTCACTTACCTTCTTGATAATAGTCTTGACTGTTTCCTGAAATGTCTAGAGTTTCCTCTAGAACTCTCCTCTCTCGGAAAACAGTTACACTCAACCAGACCCTTTAGCAGTCTTTACTCACTATCCTTAAGATGTGTTGCTTCTGACCTGTTCATAATCTCCTCCCGAAATAGATGGCAAAACCTGGGCTTTGTTCCCCTCTTTAATCTTCTGAGAAACCTAGTGCCTTTCGTGTATCATGTGAATGGTTTAACACATAGCAAAGATTAGCTCTGGTGATTATCTGATGTTCAATAAACTGTTTATACCAATAGAGACTTTACAAGTACAACAGAAAATTCTCTTTACACTGCTTCTATGAGATCAGTGGGGATCATTTTCTGCTCTCTGACATTAGTGGCTTATCTGAAATACAGAAGATGGAAGGGTATATTGAAAGATAATCAGAGGAAACAGCAATCCAAATCCAACTACAGTGGTGAAGTAGTATGAAATCCATAAGATAAATCATTATTTCACTTAAAAAGGGGGGAGGGGGACATGGTATTTATACGCCATCATGGAGTACATTATAATAACTTATTACATAATGAAATGTCTAGTAACTTGCATTTCTTTAATAATTAGAGAGGTGATGGACAGACAGACAGACAGATAGATACTCAGCCATTTTGTATGACTTCTTTGAGAAGTATCTATTTGGAACTATTTAGTAGTTGTTTTTCACTGATGCATATTCAAAGAAATAGTTATGAGTTTCATGAAGACATTTCCAGTTAAGTACATCATGTGTCATGACCATATGCGCCCCCAGGCACTACCTTTTCTCTGCCTCACTCCTCCTGTTAGGCTCCCTTTCCCCTTAGTTTTCCTTCTGCTTTTAAGGTAGGGG